CAGACAGCACAAGTACGTGCTGGAGGAGCGGCTAGCAAGATGACGGCTAGGCAGTACCGCTGCGACTAATGAGCGGTGCACAGATCGAGCTATATATAGGCCTTAACAGGGATGACGTCACTGAGTGTGACTCTACCATGTGGGTACAGAACATGTTATAAGAGGGTGACGTATGATAACATAGAGGGTGATAGAAGATCACCTGACACTGCCATGTTGGAATCCTAGGAAGAGGAGAGGGGAGGTAGTGCCGTAGTGGGATGGCTACAAGTTATGGTTTCAACACGCAGGCCGGGAGCAGCGGCAGCACGCTCATTGCCCTACAATAGTAGCAGGACAAGCACTCTAGTGCTGCTGCTGCCCCACTTGCATAGTGGCAAACCAGAGCTTTTTTAGAATCAGTTCATTCTTACTTTCCTCATTCACTTAAGATTTAAGATAATTTCTTAAGTATGATAATGCTGGTAGTGGTACCGGCATGGTGGCAAACCAGTGATTTTTTAGAATCAGTTCATTTTTAATTTCCTCATTTACTTGAGATTTTATCAGATTTCTTATGTATGATAATTCTGGTATCCAAGATACTTAGGGTAAACGCGGTATATTCCGACACATTAAGGACGCATCGAGAAATGAAAAACTATAAAAAAAACCGTATGCGTTACGTAAGTTCTGTTGCCTTCACATGACTCTCAAAACACTTCACTACGCGTCAGCAACGATGAAACGTCACAAAATGTTGCCATATTTATTAAAAAGTTGTGCTGCTGCTGCTGTTCTGCTGCTGCTGTTCTGCTGCTGCTGTTCTGCTTAAATTGACTGCAATTGGAGACGGAGTGCACAATGCAGGATAGCTGCGCGCTGCGCAGCTACCCTGCCATAGTGGCAAAGCTGTGAAAGCAAAGTTTTTTAGACTAATAAGTTCAATTTTAAGTCCTTTGAGTAGACCAACAAAGTATCATGGATACCATGATCCCACGCCTATTGGAACAAGTGCACTCCTATTTTTGACCTCTGCACTTCTCTATCACATAGAGCCTGAGGGACATGGGCATTTTGAAGGCATTTAGAATGCCACCATGCAGGCCACTCTTCCTAAAATGGCAGGAAAGCTCTATGGCTCAAGAGGTAGGTAGGTAGGTACAAATATATTCCACATCTGCTTGTACTTGTACTAAATCCCACTTTCTGTTAGCTTTTTAAGACCTCTGCTTAATTTATTCTTTATAAAACACAACAATTCCACACTTTGACTTGCAAATTTGGAAAATCATCTGTTGAAAAAGTTTTCACTGGTGACTTCTGAAAAATAGCAATGCATAGTAGCAAAGTCTGAATTTTTTTACACTTCTTTTTTTGCGTCTTGTGACTGAAATTTGACAGTACTGTCAGAGTGTCAATGCTCATAACCTTGCCACAGCACTTAGTTGTCAGCCTTCAATAGTAATATTGTTGCCAGTCATCTATTCTACAAATGAAATTGAACCACATCTTTTGATGTAACATAAAATGGGGTTACTTAGACATTTTTTTAAATGATGCCATTTTTTACTAGCTAAATTAAACTTGAATTGAAATATGCAAAATACAGGTCTATACTCTAGGTTCACTGACCAGAAATTGCTGGCTCCTGCCTCTCATAGTTTTTATGTAATTTCAAAAGAATATAACTCAGTAGTACTAATTGCAGTGAGTGACAGAGAGCTCATTTTCTCCTCAACAAAAACTTGAGGTCAAGGACAGACAGACAGACCGATGGATGGACATGGCGAGCACAATAGTGCATTTTTTCTATAAATGAGAAAATGCGCTGAAAAGTGATGATTATTGTTACCCCAGCTCTTAGGGTAGGTATCTTAAACCAAGTGGGGAAATCAATTATATTTTTTGATAAAATAACTCCAGGTTTTGGTGCATTGTAGTAGAACTCTTCTAGTTACATATGCAAATGACAAATTTGAGGAAAGTGTCATAGTATGCAAATGGGGGAGCGCCGCCCCTGAATGGGGGAACTTGGACCACCTAATGTCAGCCATGAAGGGGTAATATTGACTGGCTTGGAAATTGTGTTAAAATTACCATATATGAGACTCGAGTCTGAAACATGAAGAGAAGACATTAATAGGTGTATCAAACATGAAATATGTTGTATATGGTAATTTTAAACTAATTCCCAAGCCGGTCTATGTTACAGCCGTCAGGGCTGACATTAGGTGGTCTAAGTTCTCCCATTTGGTGGCGGTGCCCCCATTTGCAAACTATGACATTTTCCTCAAATTTGTCATTTGCATACGTAACTAGAAGAGTTCTACTACAATGCACCAAAACCTAGAGTTATTTTACTAAAAATAAAAAAATTGGATGGGGTTCTATGACAGGCTTTAAATAATAGCTCTTTTTTGTGGGTCATATTTTTCATTTTTAACTTTGAGTTTTGGGGGTTTTTGTTAAAAAAACTAAAAGTGGCCTAAACTACCCTATTTTACGGTAATCAGAATGTCTTTGTCATGTAATTTAGTTGTCAAACCCTTCAAATGCAGTTCTCTCAAGTATATATTATATAGTTTTTAGGTGATAAGCAGCAAGGAATAAGCAGTATAGTACATGCCTCATAAAAAGACTGTCTAGTTTTTCCCTATGTCTTTTGAACACATTGATTTAGCACTTTGAAATATGTCCCAAACTTTGAGGCATCTTCTCTTGCTAATGCTTAGAAGTGGTCAGGCTTGTGTTGTTAGTTCTTGTTAAATAAGAAGCTAAATTATGCAATTACAAAAAAATTGGTGTTTAATTAATACTAAAGTTGAAATTACTGTTGAACATAAAGTTTAGGTTTGCTCAACATAAAATAATTGAAAAAAATTTATAGTGTTCATTTCTCTAGCAATGCTAACAATCATTGCTATGTTCCTTGAGCAGTGGAAAATGCAATTTTCTCTGACAAATCATTGTTTACCTTATTTCTAACCTATGGCCAAGTTTATGTTTGGAGACACCCAAAATGTCATTTTATCCCAGCTGCCCCCTTCTAACCATAAAACATCTTTGGGGATGATGATCTGGGGTGCTCTTTCTTGGAAATCTGGTGCATCAATGATTTCTCTTCATGGAAGAATCACCATGACTATCCTAAAATTAGGAATTTTGGAGGACCAAGTTCATCCAATGGTAAAACCACTATTTCTGGCGGGGAATGCCCTCTTTCAAGATAATGCCCCAATCCATACAGCTGGACTTGTAAAAAACTGTACAAGGAACATTCTAATGAAGTTGAGCATCTCATTTGGCCACCACAATAACCAGACTTGAATATTTTTGAGCATTTATGGTTGATTTTAGAGATGAAAGTCAGAGGTTGTTCCCTGCCACCAATGTTTATTATAAAAGAGCTAGTGGGAGTTTTAACTGTATAATGGTTAAATTCCTTTGAAAATAATTCACAATTTGTATGAATAAATACCTTGAAATGAGTCTTCACACAAGTCAATAATACCAATTCAAAACAGAAAATATTCAAAACAGGCATTCCACAAGGCGAAGTCCTATCACCCACACTGTTCAACATATACGTTTCAGATATACCCTCACCACCAATGTTAAAATAATTACATATGCATATGACATAACAATCTTGTCCGACTACTAAGACAATAACACTGCTGCACAAACCCTTCTTCCATACCTACAAAGCATACACACTTGGACCACAGAAAACCAACTACAACTCAATGCAACAAAAAGCACTGCCACTCTTTTCACACCTGAGCCGGCCAAATATAGTACACAACTCAATCTCAATATTAATAAGACGCTCATTATAACAGTAGGCAACCCTAAAATACTTGGACTTACCTTTTCCCCAAAGATCACCTTAAGCACACACATTAGTAACACTCACATCAAAACAAATAACACCATCAAAATAATCGAATCACTTACATCCACACAATGGGGAAAACAAAAAGAACTACTCACAACCACATTCCAAACAATCATGCATCCAATCCTCGAATACACAAACTCATCCTGGTCACCAATTATATCACCCATGCACATGAACATACTCCAAACAGTCCAGAACGCAGCACTCAGGATAGCCACAGGCTGTACCGCAGACACCAACATCCACCACCTTCACCAAGAAACCAAACTCCTACCCCTAACACAACACCTCAAACTTCACGCCTCACAACACAGACAGAAAGCACAAAACCCAACCCACCCACTACATACCCTGACCCTTCAGCCACCCCCACACTGTCTTGTGAAACAAGCCATTTTCCACAACTCAGGTTTCACCACCAACTTGGATACTCCACCTGCACAAGCCACACAAGACACAAACAAACAAATCTCGAAACCATCCACACTACAATCACAGAAAACTATCTTGCAACCCTTCCTCACTATAAAATTCTAAACATCCCTGCACCACAGATCCACCTATCTGAAATTAACCTACCTAGACCTGCACACAGGAACCTTGCTCAACTTCACACAAACAAATCACTGCTACTTCTCTCATCTAAATAAAATAGACCCTGCCACATACCCTTCTCCACTTGGCCCACTCTGTCTATCAAACATGCACGACACCATTCATCTTTTCTCCTGCCCTGAAATGCCCACATCCCTGTCGGTGGGCAACCTTTGGGCAGACCCTGTAAACGACGCAAGGGTGCTGACTTGCTGGGGCGACCAACTTGGCTGGTCCCAGAACTAGGTCTAGGCCCCGCCTCACTTCACGGCACAAGGCGGGACCTAGACCCAGTTCTGGGGCCATCCAAGTCAGGGTCAAATACAACAACAATGAGTGTAATTGCTGCAAATGGTGGACCCACACCATACTAAAATATATTTTTTGGATTTCTCAGGTGTTTCCCTTATTTAGTCTAACCCCTGGTTGCTCAGCACCACCAAAAGTTTTTACCAATACAGAGCCTATGAAATAGAAAAGGCATACTAAATTAATTACAATTGAGGATGTTTTCTCTCCACAGGATCCTGAGCCAGTCCTGAAGCACCCTCTGAACAGCACCTGGACCTTGTTTTATTTCATCAATGACAAGAGTGGAAACTTCAACTGGCAGGAGTCCCAAGCTGTGGTTGCATCATTCAATACAGTTGAAGACTTTTGGGCGTGAGTATTATGTTCATTTCCATCAGAAACTAGTGGCACTTGTGTTTTTGTTTCCCTTCTTGACCTAGTCCTGGATTTGGTGCTAATTAGTGTAGTTGTTTTTATTAATATCTCTGACTATAGACAGCATTTTTGTAGGTTTATTATATATTTTCTCCTGCTAATAGCTAGAAATAAATGAAAGATGTACACTTGCATCAAGTTTACTGGTGGAGAATTGACTAGAGCCAATATCTTGAGTGGGATAAAAATTGCCCATCTAGAATATGATAACTGATGGCACCTTCCTTAGACCATTATTATAATACAACTAGGTACATTAATCACAACTCTAAAATCTTATTTTATTTTTGGTAAGGGAATATCTACTCATCCATCTGTGTCAACTCCTTACTAAACAAAACAATAATAAATTTGTAACATTTCCTGGTGCTCTAACAGGCTACTTAATACTCTGATCACTATCTTTTTTTTGGCTCTACCTCTTACAACTACTCCTTGCTCAGCCCTAGGACTGGCAGGAAACGTGTTCACAATGTGCAGTTGACCAAACGCCAGTTAGTTTCATCTGAACAGTCAATTTACTTGATAGTAACATAAGATTATAAGCTAATATAATATACTTGTAACTGGTATTCACTTAACAACGGATTGCTTCAAGTATCGGTATCTATCCAACAACAGTTATTCAAAATGGTGATGCAACATCTTGACCAAATGCATTTGATTGTATTGAATGTTGGGTAATTTCTGAGCTTATTATATTTATTCACTAAGGGGGGTGTGTAATAGTAATATACAATATAAATAAAGTATAGTGTAATTACTCAAAATATTTTACTCACATGAGTGTAGTAATACTACACTTGCGTGAAGAGGGTTAGGGTCCTGAAATTTCTGAGTTTGTATTAACATATGGAGTGCAACATGACCTACCAGTGGGTTGCAATGTTGTTTTTTCCAGACAAATTCCACAATTTAGATTTTTCAAGTGCCTTGGTTGGCAGAAATTTATGAAGGTGGTACTCCCTTATTAAATTTAAAAAGTCCAGAAGAAAACTGAATTTTTGCAGCAGAACCTACAAATTTACTAGTACATAATGAATTTTAGGCCTTTTTTGCCTGCTGTCTTGGCTGTTTATAAACTATCTGGCAAGTAAGATGGGTTGTATAACACTTAATGTGTTGAGAATATGAAATTTAAATTAAGAGGAATCCAGTTGTGATTATTTTTTTACAAAACCTAGTAAGTAACTTATACTTACCATATTTTGATTCAATTGTCTTCTGTAATATCTATCTCCTCTCCTCTCCTCTGTGATAGTTATTCTATTATGAAATTGAAATATTTTTGATTTCAGCACAGATATAATGGTACTACATCTTAATACGCACATGGATGGTCTTTTTATCCTATTTCTCACCTACCATTTAACTAAAACATCTATATCTGTGCAAAATAATGTAGTTGCATTTACAAAATCACTTGTAACGGATACATTTTCATTATATTTGTATTCAATATTAATGATTGTGGTCTGATGTCCGTTATGTTTCAGATTGTTCAACCACATAGAGAATGCCAGCAAGCTCAAGATTGGGTTTGACTATTCGCTGTTCAAGAATGGCATCTTGCCGGCATGGGAAGACTCGGGCAACACCGGTGGTGGCAAGTGGACGCTCAACACTTCTCGGCATCAACGCTTTACTGATCTTGATAATTACTGGCTGGAACTGGTAAGCAGATGCTGCTATTCTTACAGGCTCATTGCCGTGATGTAAAGAAGTGCGTTTAGTTTAGTTATATTGAGCCTTATTGTGCGAATTATGGATCACATGTCACAAAGAGGGCCGTGAAATCGTGTTGAATTAATTTTATGTATAAAGTGCATAAGAAGAGTCAAATTGTTCAGTGGTTAATTTTATCACAGATCATGATGATGGTTGGTGAGAATGAGGAAGAGTATGTCAACAACGTGATAACAGGCGCCGTCGTCAGTCTCAGGATGAAGCAGGACCGAGTTTGTCTGTGGTGCGCCCCAACCAAGAAGCCTGAGGCTATTTTGAAAGCCGGGTGCGTTATAACTGCTACGATGTTTCCTACTCACCATTTCATCTATCATTAATCTGAATTTTCTCTCTACTTGCTTCCCTATGAAATCGCATTCAATAAAGACCGTCATTTTGCGTTGGTGCTGACGTTTCTATATGACTAGTCATATGAGACATGTATATTTGTTTCAAACTAACTTTTTAGACTAGCTAGTCGGGAACCCCGTTTCAAAATGGGAAAGGTTTGGTATGGAAAGGGACGTTGCTGTGGAGAAGTTTATGCTTCTGCTATGAGGAGTAGAGAACTGACCACTTTCTTACCGCTGAATATTTTTCAACGTTTTGCAGGAAGGCGATGAAGCGATGCATGGGCATCCCACCGAACACTACCATCGATTACACAGTGCATTCGAACAAGAGCACCAGCCGAAACTCCAGTTTGAGATCTCTCTACAGTTTATAAGCGCTCTCGCTACCACTTCAATTAATTATTATTTACTGTGCTCTTCTCGTTGTCTTTAATATTCATACAAATGAGACTTATTTTTTCTCGCGTGTGGTTGTAACATTAGTTTACCTTTCTCTCTAGTGTAGTTATGTTTCTGTTTCATGTCTGTTTTGCTTAGTAATTTTCTCGTTTCTCATCTGTTTATTCCCTCATTTAATGTGTTCAGTGTTAACCTTGTGCTAATGTCATGGAAGCGACTTACGATTCTGATTCATTTTTGTGACTTTGTATCAAATAAAGGAATTTCGTTGTGGCATTTTGATCCTGCATCACTTCTGACTGCTCCAACGGTCTAACACTGTGACTGAACTCTGTGGAACAATCTTGGGGGAAAAATCGAGCAGCGCACATGTAAGTTGAGTTATGGATAATGTAGTAGAGTAAGTAGAGTGATGAAGCTATATCTGCTGCACATGAACATTAGCCAGACAACTCGATTTGTTGTCCAGAACATCTGCTACAATTGATACACGTGCAGGTTGCATGTTGTACATCACAGACTTCGTTCTGAATTCCCGTGTTAGGCTTCGACTCTTTGCGGTACAAACTGGTCTCGTTAAATGTTGTGGTTTGGCTGACCGCATTACCAAGATTCATTAAAATCCTTTGTTGCGATCAATATAGCCAGAAAGTTGATAATTTTAGCCTCTAATTGCCTTATGAGCTAAAATCTCGTTTTTTAAGATAGTGCAAGTAGTTCTGAAGTAGTCAATCCTCTTTGTTTCTTCTTAGTGTTGGAGTTAATCTTTTGCGTTCGAGCGGATGAGGAGTACTTAGAGAAAACTGTATGTATTAAGTATTCAGTTCAAGCGTATTGCAACTTCGACACGTTGATGCTTGTTAACGTGTAGTGTCTCAATTTTGTTTTGGTTTAGGGTGTCTGAAATTTCCCTGTTGGCCGCGAAATTTGCTGGCTGTTATGTCGTATTTTCTTTGCCAGTCCTTCCCAGTATTTTCTTTGCCAGTCCTTCCCAGTATTTTCTTTGCCAGGCCTTCGCTTTGGGAAGCCTGGGTCTAGGCTACTGGGAGGTGGTTGTGTGGCTCCTCGTTTTCCCGTTGATGTTCTGTAAACAACCATCTGGAAACTAATAAACGTCCTAAAACATTCAGGCGTTTTGTACTCTGTTGCTCCAGCATGAAACTCCTGCAGTCCTGGTTTTTGACCATCAAATCGTGGTCTCTGTAATGGAGTGCTATTTATTGCAAGTATTTACACTAGATCTTTCTACGTTAATGATCTCTATCATGTGGAGAAATCTATTAATGTAGGAATTTGATGGAACGTCTGTATTTTTAGCCAACCAAGCCGTGCTGTATGATTACTGCCTTTAATCCACGGTTCGTAAATTGATAAATTAATATCAATTGAATTTGGTCAAATTCAATTGAATTTGCTAAGGGAGAAAGGATAGAAAACCTTTTAATATTATCGACAATTGCATTAGTTTCGTGCTGTATTTTGGCTGCACAGAACATATCGGGACAACTTGATCGATCTGCATTCTACTTTAACGATCACATTTAGGGCTTCACCGGGTTGCAATAATGGCGATTACTTGTCATGTCTGACGAAATTCAATACTTACCTACATGTAGCGCCGCTTGAAGACTCACCAGCACCTGATACGATGTCAGAAGACTTCCTCACAAAAGAGACCTATTTTGAACTGCTGATATGCGAGACTTATAAGCCGATTGAGTACGTAATCAGATTGCTGCTGAATTTAAGTCAGTCGCGCCGAATTCAAGGACGAAAGTTGCGTGTCAAAGGCAATCGTAGCTTGATTGTCCTCGAATCTATGTTGGAACTGACGCGACTTAGAAGTTATAGGCCGGTTGGGTGCATAATTAAGTATCCACATTGGCAAGAACAATGAACAGTAAATAACAGTATGAGAAGGCATGGTTGCAACGACAGAGTGAAGTTGACAATGGAAAAAAGACTCTGGAGTTAACCCTTTACCGCCTGATTTTCTGGGTCAAAAATCGCTAATTTCACTTTTCCGGTTTTTAGTCTCGCCGTAAAGCTGACATTGTGACCTATCCAACGGTACCGAAATCATCTCTGTACGTTGATTTATGCTTGACAGATCGCGAAAGGGTTAGAGGTGGGGGAGTTCTTTCACATTTAAGATAGGCGAAAATTACCGGCCGGGCACATAAATAGACGGTCTGAAGACGCTGATCTTTAGTCACCCGGCTGCTGTCGTGTGTGGTGGTGCTCATACAATCGTTCCCACCATCCTTGACTGAATTTCAGCTCCAGTAACGTCTAGTCTTGTATCCATGCCACCTTGACTGCCTATTTCGAGGGGCTCGGGACTTTGTCGCGCTCTGCTGGACATTCACACTTATTGTCACTGCAAACCTACCTCCTCATAGGAGTTTTTAAGCTACAGCAATGAGAGATACAGTGGGGGGGAAATAAATATTCGTACACTTGAAAAATCGTATTTTAATGTATGTAAGTACACAAACTTAACAGGAAAAGTGATTTAAATTATGTATAGAGACGCATAGTATTCAAAAATACTATCAAAAGAAATTAAATCTCAATGCAACAAAAAACAATGCAACATGTTCACTTTTCGGGTGAAAAAAGTATTCGTACAAAACAATAAATCCGCATGATTTTAATTTAATACTTGGTTGAATACCCTTTATTCAGCTCAACAGATACAAGTCTATTTCTATACGTCTCGACCAATGATTTGCAGATGCTGACTGGTATTTTATACCCATGGTTGAATTCAACCATGTTTATACCATTCTTCTTGGCACACCACCTTAAGATTCTCAATGTTTGTTGGGGACCTTTTCTTAATTTGAATCTTCAAATATCGCCACAAATTTTCAATCGGATTTAAGTCCGGCGACTGGCTTGGCCATTCCATAACGTGTACATTTCTATCACCCCCCTTTTTTGGCTGTTTTCTAAGAAGTTCACGTTTTCTTTAATTTTTTTCGAAAAATTTACACGAACAAAAATGTCTTCATAGTGATCCGTCTGTAAGTAACCGAAATAAAATTTCACAAGAAATTGGAAATTGAAAATTTTATTTCGGTTATTTACAGACAGGTAACTTTGAAACTTGGTACACATATGTAAAAAATAAATCTATGACTTTTTTGTTCGTATAAATTTTTGAAAAAATGAAAGGAAGCGTGAAATTCTTAGAAAGCCGGTGTTTTTTTAAAGGCGACTTGAAAGTCCGATTTGGCGGTAAAGGGACAATGAAATATGACAATAGAATATAATAGAAGTGTCGGCACTGAAGAAATAGGCCCATGGCCTGTTGCCGATTCTTGTTCATAGAATATAATAGAAGTGTCGGCACTGAAGAAATAGGCCCATGGCCTGTTGCCGATTCTTGAATTTTTCGTGACTTGATTCACAATGGAACCGGCCTTTGGAATCCGATCTTTCCATAACTGACGATTGATTGAGATAGCTGCTGGACTTATTGCCTGGTCCGTAATTTGCTAGGCATTTTAAGACTGAACATATGCTCCTGCATGGCTTCGTCTAGTCTTTTCATGAAGGCGTTCATACTCGGAGCGTCAACGATGCCATCAAGGAGGCTGTTCCACATGTGGGTGACTCGAAGCGAGAAGAAATGTTGCCGCATGGATGTGTTACAACGCCGTTTTTTTTAGTTTATAGCTCGAGAAGAAATGTTGCCGCATGGATGTGTTACAACGCCGTTTTTTTAGTTTATAGCTGTGGCCCCTGGTGTTGGTTCTTGTTTCAAATTCTAGTAATCCTTCTGGAACCTTATATAAGCCATGAGTATACTTGTATGCTTCAATGAGTTCCCTACGCAGACGCCGATAACTGAGGCTTGGAGCTTCAAAATCTTTAATCTTTCCTCATAGGACTTGCCTTTCAAGCCCGGAATTATCCTTGTTGCACGTCTTTGAAAACTCTCTATTAAATTTTTGTACTTGTCAAGTTTCGGTAACCACACGAAGTTTCCAAACTCTAGGTTCGGGCGCACGACAGCAACAAACAACTGCTTTATCGCTTCTGCATCTAGGAACTCGAAAGAGCGTCTGATCAGTCCAAGTCGTTTATTGGCTTTATTAACTTATATGCTTAGAAAATTTCAACTCATTGTCGATATTAACTCCTAAATCTTTTTCCAGTGTCGACTTCGACATCATCACTCTGTCGTTGCAACCGTGTCTTCTCATACTGTAATCTTGCTGTTCATTATTCTGGCCAAGGTTGATTACTTTACATTTGTCAGCGTTAAAACGCAGCTGCCACTTATCAGCCCAGTCAACCAGCCTGTACTTGATGAAATGCACTGACTTGAAATTTTCTACGCATATTGAAGCTCGAGTTAATGAAGCCAATAAACGACTTGGACTGATCAGACGCTCTATTACGAGTACAGTACCTAGCTGCAGAAGCGATGAAGCTGTTCATCGCTGTCGTGCAGCCGAATTGAGTTTGGAAATGGTATGTGGTCACCAAAACTAGAAAAGGAGAAAAATTTAGTCAAGTGATCAATATTTTTTTATATTGGACACTCCGAAGCATTTGAAAAATTTGAATATACGTAATACAATTTTGACTGTGGTGGCCAAGATGTGCAACAAGGATAATTCCGGGATTAAAAGGCAAACCTTGCGAAGAAAGATTAAAGATTATGAAGCTTCCTAGCCTCTGTTATCGACGTCTGCGTGGTGACTTCATTGAAGTATACAAGTATATTCACGGTTTATACAAGGTCCCAGAAGGAGCCCTAGAATTTGAAACAAGAAGCAACACCAGGGGCTACGGCTATAAACTAAAAAAACTGCGATGTAACACATCCATGCGACAACATTTCTTCTCGCTTCGAGTCACTGAAATGTGGAACAGCCTCCCTGACAGCATTGTTGACGCTCCGAGTATGAAAGCCTTCAAGAACAGATTAGACGGGTCGCCTGCCGAAGACCACCACCGCCCTGTATGTAATTGACCATGATGATTCCTACCTTCCGGAACGTTGCCTTCAACACTTCTGGACACCCATATCTAGGTCGTGCGTCGAACCAGCCTTCGGTCAAACGGTCACTCGTCGACTGACGATAAATTTTGGAACAGAACTATGCTATATGAAATCTAACCTCAGATGCGGCGAACGTAAAATTACGTAATTTAACGATGCCCGGAAGTCATATTCGATCTTCGGCATGGTGGTGCACGGCAGGGTGTATGCAAGGCCTGAGGAGGACAAAGCCGAGTGGTTCACGGCTGATTGGTAGATGTCCGGAGATATCAAAGGCGTTCGATTCAGGGCTTATTGGCGCACAAAAATGGTGGTGCACGGCTGCGCTCCCGATTAGACGAAGCTCTGCGATTCGCAGGAGCATATGCTCAGTCTTGAAGTGCCTAGCACCTTACGGACCAGTAGTAAGTCTAGTAGCTATCTCAAACAGTCGTCAGTTATGGAAAGATCGGGTTCCAGAAGGCCGGATCCCTTGTGAAACCAAGTCACGAAAATTATATGAACCGGCAACAGGCCATGGGCCTATTTCTTCAGTGCCGGCTATTCTATTCTATAATTACAATGTAGAGCGAGTCGCGCCAAATTATTGGACAAAAGTTGCATATCAAAGACAGCTGTAGCACGGTTGTCCTCGAGTGACATTTTTTGCAACACGTGGATGTATTAAAAAAAAAGGCTTGCATTTTTAAATTACCGTAGCCTAAAGTTTATATGATTTAAATACAGTGCAAAAAAGCCTGCTATTAACGATTGAATGACTTCGTACATTTACCGCTGTTATATCTGATGAGGTTACTTTTAGAAAATGATTTCAAGTTGCCCATGTACACATATTTTTGAGACTCAGAAAATGGATAAAAGTCAAACATTCGATAGTGATCGATACAGTTATCGTGCTCCTGCAAGTCCCGACCAAACCAATATTTTTCTTCGGTCAAAGCTTATAAAATTTTCGCATAAAAAATGTATAATTGCCCCTTATCGCAATGAAACGTTAAAAAAAATTCAAAATGAATTTAGAGTAAGATAGAGGTACACAAAAAACTGTATGAAGTGTGATTGATCATTCTTGAACACTGCTTGAGGAAAAATATGACGCTTCAAGAGATAAAGATTTACTTTGAGCAAGGGGAAAGTTTAGGACGCAAAGTATTGGAACCAATCTGTGCGAAAGGATGAGTGCCGCTAGTGTGAGATAATATATTTTCTAATTATCGTTCAATTGTTTTGTAGCTCTTTTAAGAAATGTTTATGTCAGTGAATTTTTTGTGAAGCTCATGGCTTCTGTGGGCTCCTCGAAAGAGGGGACTGCGGGGAGCAGTCATCGGTCGCTTCCTCAAAGTTCTCAACAACAACAAGGAGGGGGCCAGAGCTTCCAACCCATGGATAAAGCTTCAAGCCAGACTGTCAAGGTTAGTTTTCTGAATGGTAATCACCATTGAGTGCTAAATGCTTATTAGGCTAGTTTATAACTTAGTGACTAGTATTTTGAATATTTTATTCCTGAATGATTTTAGGCCTAAATATTGATGAATGGAAATTTTACTCCTAGGTATATTTAGGTATATTTATGTGAGTTTGTAGTCCTCCTATTTCATTTTAGCTAAGCTATTATTTACTTTATTTGATGCTTATACTTATATATAGTCTAATAAATATATATCAATAATTGCAATATATCAATAATTGCAATGTGAAAAGACCCTGCCCATAAAAATATAATATTATTAGAGTGAAATTTTAGAATACTTAAATATCTAGTGTCATAGTGAATTTATACTCCATGTCAGTCCAAGACTGGCAAGACATATCGTCAAACAGAGTAATAAGGGACAGGTGGTCAAGGCGGGATAAATTGGGGCAGTCCTCTGCCATGGTGTAAAAATTTTATTGCAGCAAAACCAATTAAAATATTGCAAAACTAAAATAGTGACGCAAACTTCAATATTTTTCCTATCTACCTATGTAAGTTTGCAGCATAAAGGAAATTAAGAAATCATACATTTACTAGCTCTAAATAATTCCAGAAAAAAATGTTAAGAAGTGCTATTTCAAAGATGTACTTCTGTTATGGTCTGTTGTAAAAAATATTAGCCGTATTAAAAAATTTTGCTTAGAAAAAGTTGCAGACAGGTGTCAGCTTCAGAACTTCATTGACGTTATTTTCGTACCTCAATGCAAAACAAAATGGTCATTTCTGCACAACAGGGCATTAACAGAATTACAGAAGTATGTTTTCAAAATATTGCTATTCAAATTTCTTTAAGGGGTTTTTTAGAGCTAGTGAATGTATGATTTCTTAACTTCCTTTATGCTTCATAGATAGAAAAGATGAAGTTTACACAACTATTTTTAGGTTGCAATATTTCAATTAGCTTCACTGCTGTAACATTTTTGCGCCGTGGCAGAGGACTGTCCGACTTTACCTCACCCATCCCTTATTACCCCCATTTGATGGTATTGAGTTGAATCCTGCTACTTGAAAGATGACAGGGAATCTCATGTGGAGGTTAGGTCAGTTCACTCTTTAGTCAAATAATATAAAGTTAAATCTAATCTAACCTGATGCTGCAAGATTTTCTTTGCCCTACTTTGTTGCCAATGAACTTTATAACAACTCAAAATATATGAACAAAATTAATAGCACCAGTTTTCACAATTAAATTTGACATCAAAGAAAACATTGATTTAGCACCTGATTTTTTTTGTAAATATAGATGTTTCAAAAGTATTAATTATTTAACAACCCAGTTTTGTAAACAAATAGATCATTTGTATTGGAAGCTTGTACATGAGGAAGGTGGTGACGTGGCTGTTGATGTTCTTTTGAAAGATGATAGTGACTGCAGAGTATTGTTTAACTAGGACACAGGCCTCTATGAAAATATTAAGGCATTATTTATTAATTTATTAAATTTTATTGAAGTGTTTATTTATTAACGTGAAAAATTAGAAAAGAAGAATCTTCATTTCATTTTGTAATTTTCCAGTTGAACCCTAAGCTGGAGCTGAGCCACACTGAGCTTTTGAAGTTGCTGTCATACATGGAAGCTGAGCTGCAAGCTAGAGATGTTGTCATTGCTACACTCAAGGTTTGATATTCAGTAATATAATTATCAATTTTCTTATGGAAATATTATATGTTCTCGCTGAAATATTTCTTAAAAATCACTGAAATAATTTAAGATTTTTATCAATGATAATAATTGATCACAGTGACAAATGTTATTTTTCTGGTGTAATAGAAATGTACTTATTTGAGCAGACAGAACGAATCAAGAGCCTTCTAGCATATGGAAGAGGAGGAGTTCATGACCCAGTTCTGGCGCTGCAGCGTGATGCCTCCTGTGCCACATCAGCTGCTGCTCGTTCTGAAGGAGACAATGCCTCACAACTACACATGCGCAGCCTGCAGGACACGCAGCTCTCCCAGCTAGAGCATCTTATATCTCAGCAGCGCAAAGCTCATCAGCGCATGCGACATGTCCTCAGAGAGGCAGAAAAGGTTTTATCATGCACATTTGATACACTTGATATGCTAGGGGTTGGAACTTGGTTTTATTTAGGTCCAGTTAAACAAAAACTTCTGAATTAAATAAAAACTTCTGAATTAAGCAAAGATCTGGGTGTTCATGCTGTAACTCTTTGGTGTAATTTTATAAGGAATAATTTAGGGTCTATGAGATTGTTTAGCTGTCTGGATATGGACTGTGGTCTACCACATGTCAACCTTGTACTATGATGTTGAGCAAAGTGCATTTCCTATTTTCTATGATGTAAATTTCATTGTTGCAGTTCAATTTTAAGAGTTTACCATTTGTTTGGTATAAAGTCTTTATTGATCAACATAAATATAAATCAATAAAATTTTAGTATTATTAAGTTTGGTTATCAAAATAACAGAATGTCTGATAATTTACTTGAAAATATTATCGCATATATACGTACCTATATCTAAGAATTCCCATGCCTTGTAATATCTGTTGAAAATATAATTTTTCCATGCCAGCGCCATAGCCGCGTGGTTGGCGAGCTGGAGGAGGAGCGCAGAAAGCATGAGCACGACACGGCACAAGGAGATGATGTAGCATATGCACTCGAGCGGGACAGAACTCGCCTTAAGCAGGTTAGTCTGATGTTCACACTCGTGTAAGAAAGATTTTTCATGTCATCTTACAAATTCTTTAATTATAAATGACTGGTAGAGGAGCCCAGCATTGCCCAAAAATTGATATCCTTAAGATTTTAGAACCTCATACTTGTACTCTAATCCTGGAAATACCGTTTCACTTGAGAGTTCATCTTTGCTGCCATACTAATATCTTTTGAGCTGAATTTGTGTTAATTTTTGAAACCGATTTTCAAAATATGACTTGAAAAAAGCAGTTGAAGTCTGATTTTGAAAAAGGAAAAAAGATCTAAAATATTCCTTAAAAAATTGGGGGATTTAAATATTTATGTTCGAGTTGAATATTTATGTTTAATACAACCCTGTTTTATAATGCTAATGCTCAAATATCCTACTTACAAAACAGTTCTGTGCAACAAAAATTGTGCATTTGTACCTCATTAGGCAGCTAGTATTTTTTGTTGTTAATCGAAAATGAAGAACAACTGACGGTTCTTCAGGAATACAAGTGACACTTGCTACGTAGTTTCTTTAAAATGTGGAGTCTTGAATGTGTGATGACACTATCTATCAGAATATGCATAATTCTTTCCGGCATTGTGGTAGTTATGTATTCATGAGGTTGTTCCATGATTGCTAAGGCAAATAAGTGTTGGAACATATCATTCTATTGATGGAAAGTAGATGTGGTGTAACTGTAATAAAAATTGACCAATATTATGTAGTTGTGGACTATTAAATCTCATATATTTTTGTTTTAACTTTGTAGTATGATTGTGGTCAGACGATGGAGTCGGAGCGCACCCAGCGTCGCGCTGCTGAGGCAGAAGTGGCACGCCTTACAAGTGAACGCGAGCAGATGCAGCAGCAGCACAAACAGATGGTGCTGCTGCTGCTTGAAGACAGGAACAGACTGGCGCTACATGCTGCTCACTACCGCAACAGAGCTGAACAATTGGCTAAGGTCTCATTACCGTCTTCATTTAAGATTGGATATGATTTATGCCTGCCGTCTGTGTGATTAATTTATTTTAATCCTGGTTACGTTCTATGTATGATTCGCTTAGAACTTGAAATAATAAGACCATCTGAGACAAGACTGTGGATCTAATATGTATGCAAGATTGAGATTTACTTGATTTTCAGTATTCATGTTCATGAAAACTCTCTAGAAATTGAATATTGGATAAGCTTCAAGTGAACTACCTAGGTACTGCTTCTAGTTTTTGCTTTCGTTTGTAATAATTTTAAATTGAAGAAGTTGGACATCTTATGCAGCTTCAGAGGACGTCGAAGCAAGAACTGCTTGCTATTACCATTCCCAATTGAATGAAACACATATTTTGCCTAAAAGTTGCACCATATAAACTTTTAATTTAAAGTTCTTCCACTCTGCCTAATAAGGCCTCATTATTCACTTGTTAATCACGTCTGAGATCATGAGAAATCATGTCCAAATACAGATCAAACAATAATAAGAATAATAGCAAGTATAATATTAAACATTTATTAACATTTATTATTAAATAAAGGTGCATAGACAGGAGCGTTGTGGCACTACAGTGAACTCCTGAATTAACGTTGGCCTCGTGTCAAGTAAATTTATTTTTTCCATTAGTAATCATCATTCACTATTAAAATATTTTGCCAGATTTATTAGTTAAGATCAGTTAGTACATGAGTTGCAGGAAGAGCTTTCTTGTTGATGTTGGGATGTGGAGGTAAATACTATAACATTTGGAAATTTTACAATGTCAATATTTCTTGCAATGACATGAGAAAACTGTGGCATTTTGCGCTATTCCTGTGAGTATCTGAAGAAATGTGACAATATTCTAAGGTCAGGAGCTGAATATAACAAGTCAGTTTCATGTTATAATTACTAGAGTTAGTTATATTGTGTTTTTGGCCCTGTAGTTGGTGAGTGAAGAGAAAGGTCGCATCGACGGCATGGCGGAGGGTCTGGAGGAGGAAAGCAAGAAGAGCCTGCAGATGGAGGCTCAGATGGAGAAGCAGCTCGCGCTCTTCGATGCTGAACGCCAGCAGATGAGAGGACTGCTGCAGCGGCGCGACCACAGGTCTCTTCCTATCATATCCACCTATATCTTCACTTTGTATCATCATGCATTTGTTAAATTAGCTTGAGAAATTTCTGGTCTTCTTAATAACTTTTGTGGTTGAAGTAATAATCCTTGAAAAAGAACACAAATGCAATCTTTTCTATAGAATAAAGTTTCAAAAATACTTCCTGTTTGTAGCGTTGAACTTTACATGGTATGAGTTTTTTGAACATTAAAAATGATAAACGTTCATTAAAATGTATTGCTGCTGAGGCAACACTTACTTGCTCCTAACTCCATGGTCCCTGCAGACTGGAGGAGGTTGAGGCGCTGGTAGAGAAGCTGCAGCGGGACGTGGCCCACTACCAGAAGCAGCTTCAGGAGGCACATAACGTGGCCATGTTCCAGCAGCAGCAGCAGCAGTTGTCTGTGTCGCCCCCTCGTCTTGTGGGACCTCCTGCTGCTGCCCTGCACTCCCTTCCCTGCTCTACCCCTCCTGGTACTCGTCTATATTCACTGCAATAAGGGCTTCACTTCATGCCTAGATGACTGCGACCTATATATACTTTTGGCAACCCCTTTATCATCATGGCAACATTTTACCATTGATTTAAAAACGTTTTTTATTCACATCTGCCCTCTCGATTTGAGTTTTTTTTTGTGTTTAATATTTCTGTGTACTCTGGTGATTGCCGTCATTCCTGCCACAATTTCCCCACTAAAACTATCAAGTGATATTAGGATATATTCAACTACAATTAATTCCTGATCTGAATCAGGAATTGGCATTTTGTTAGTCAAGCTATTTATAAGTCTAGATAATTTTCAAATGCAAGTCTTTTATTGTTTTTCTTTATTCTCTTTGAACATTTGTGCGCCTAGTGCCGTTGTATCAGAACTCGCTTGTAGTGTACATATAGCAGCTTACATGCTACGTAATGAGTACATGTAGCGGCTTACATGCTACATAATGCGTGCATGTAGCTGCTTACATGCCTCATAATTAGTACATGTAGCGGCCTACATGCCTCATAATCAGTACCTACATGTAGCGGCCTACATGCCTCATAATCAGTACATGTAGCAGCCTACGTGCCTCATAATCAGTACATGTAGCGGCCTACATGCCTCATAATCAGTACTTGTAGCGGCCTACATGCCTCATAATCAGTACATGTAGCGGCCTACATGCCTCATAATCAGTACAGGTAGCGGCCTTTATGCCTCATAATCAGTACATGTAGCGGCCTTTATGCCTCATAATCAGTACATGTAGCGGCCTACATGCCTCATAATCAGTACATGTAGCGGCCTTTATGCCTCATAATCAGTACATGTAGCGGCCTACATGCCTCATAATCAGTACATGTAGCGGCTTACATGCCTCATAATTAGTACATGTAGCGGCTTACATACCTCATAATTAGTACATGTAGCGCCATCTGCCATTGATGGGTTTAGCTTGAGAAGTTGTCAATGGTTGACTGTAAGGGCATCAAGAGCACAAACGATTTTTGATAGGATGGCTCCTGAACATAGTTAATGCAACTATTGATATGTTTACAGTATTGGGGTCTTGAACATGATTGTTAATGCAAATATTGTTATGTTTATTTGTGTTTATTTATGTTTATTTATGTTTATTTATTACTTTTATTTGTTATGTTTACAGCGTTGACGCCGTCAGTGACAGCGTCGGTGGTGAGTGGAGTGAGCCTAAGCCAGGCCTCTAACATGGTTAGCCTGCCCTCCCTGAGCCCCAACACCTGCACCTCTTCCCTGGCTCCCTCTGATGTATCCGGCGCCCCACCTGGCCAGTCCTCTACCCTGCCTCCTTCCGTGCGTCTTGCCCCAGCCTCTAAGCCTCGGCCTCAGCCTCCACAGCTGCCAGCCAAGCCGCCTCAGCTCAGCCACCAGCCTGCGAGACAGGCAGGTCAGTCGCTTGCCATATTAAACTCAAAAGTGCAGTTGCTTGCCTGCAATGATTCTCGTATGAATTCTGCATTCACATTTCGGTTGATCAGAACTCAATTATGCTCTGTAAATGTTTGAGCGTTTGGATCCACTGAATAATGAATCATGTTAATCTGTATGCATGAAATTACCATTAATTTGCTATTACATTATTATATTCACAAAGTATATTGAAGATTCTATATTCTCCTTCAGGTACTTTACCTCCCCCTAAAGTAGCGGCGCGTGTGAGAGCTTCCTCCCCAGGCAGTGAGGATTCATCCAATCACTCGCAGCTGTTATCTAGTCAATCCCTCGCTAGTCATCCTTCCGCGTCCTCAGCTCACGCACATTCATATTCACCTTATCCAATAAGCACACATTCCGCGTGCTTAGTTGCCAATGAAACTACTGGCATTTCCTCACCGCTGCTAGGCGGAGCCAGCTATGATTCACCTTTAAGTTTGACTCATCTTGGAGGAGGCACTTACGAATCATCAGGTATGAATCTCATGGGCCAGGGAGGCTTCGAGAATCAAGCTTCCTTGGCCAGCACTGGACACAGCAAAGCCGTGCAGCTCTCCGCCACCGTTAATTCTGTTCCCGTTTCCTTGCCCAGTGAGTCAAGCTGACGGCATCGTTTGCTCATGTATTCGAACTCCGTGTTGAATGACGTAATATTCTTACTTTATTAGAGTATATTAACTATTCTTCAATGGCTGGACAGTATTTTATTGTTGAGCTTTATTTGCTCGATGTGTTCTGTTGTTCACTCGTGTAGTCCTGTGTTAAATTCTCATGCAATATCGCCCATTTAATTGCCATTTCTGCGCATTGGGTTTTCAATTTATGAAATTCTTTAGAACATTTTTCAGTCACGTCATATTGTGTACTACTTCATTTGATGCTGTATAACAGTTTCTCCATGTTTCATTATATACTGACAGCTTGTATTATGTTCTCGGAAACAGGCATGGTTATTCTAAGAAGCTATTTTTGTAGGACTTTAGTTGTGTTGCTTGTGCAGCGACTGGCATAGCCCGTGCAGTGCAGCCGCCACGTGCTGTTCTGTATGCTTCAAACCAAGGCGACGAATGCGTGTCCACTGCCTCGGTTGTTGGTGGCAGTGCCGCTTCTCATGGCAGCAGTGCCACGTCTCATGGCAGTGCCACGTCCCAGGTGGTGCAGTTGTCACCGCGAGTAAACGTGTCAGCTACAGGCACTGGCAAAGTCATCGCAAGTAACCAAGGCGGCAAATTCACTTTCCAAGTGAGTACCACATCCTCACACAACCACAATAGTAATTCTAGTAATATAAATAACAATTATCATCATGATGTGGTCAATCAGCAGCTGCAGTCTTCGCCTCGTAAGCCTCTTCCGCCCGCTCGGTCAGCTAGCAACAGTTCAGTATCTCGTCCTTGCGTACCTAGCAGCAGCAGCAGCAGCGCTCGTCTTCTCACCAATAGCAACGCTTGCAGTCGTCTTGTTCCTCCTCCTCTACCCCCAAATAAACCTCATTTATCTAAAAGTGATTCGCCAATCAGCGTTGAGGTGAAGCCCCACAAGCTGGGGCCTCAGACCCTCAAGTTTGGCATCACAATCAGCAAGTCGACAGGCGTTTTCAGCGATGATCCTACGGTGGGCATCACAAGAAGGGAGGCGACTCAGGTGAGGTTCTCTCCCTGCCCGTTTGCTCCTCAAGACGAGGGAGGTACCAGAGCCTTCTTGAGACAATGCATCGGTGTTTCTAGTGACGCCTCAAAACCTGCGATAATTCCTCAAAAAGGAAACAAACGCAATGTTGTTAAAATGATTTCAATAGATGATCATTACTATTTTTTGTGCCGTCACTTGCTCTGGTATTTAGCAGCCATTTATTCAATGCGACACTCATGCTCGTTCTCTTGAAGGCCTCGGGTGTATCCAGCTTCAGTGCTTCGCCAAGTCCTTCCCGATTTTCTAGTCAAAATGTGTTCACCTCTTCTGGAGGTATTGAAATATAGCATCCCTCTGCCTGACTTGTTCGCATCGCCACATTTGCCTACTGATGTCCCTCCTCACCTCTTCTGCGTGTATCTCATGAGTTTGCTTCTTCAATACGCACATTTATATCACCTATTGTCTACAAATATCCTCGCAATTAACTGCAACAATATATGCATACTGAAGTGCTAACGACTCTTGCCTTATCCATTATATGTGTAACATTTTTAATCTGATGCAAACATAGTGTGATGCTCGCATTTCATGAGTATACTCTGCTAAGGGCGTCTCTTTCTTGTAATTTTTAGTGTGAAACTTTGATCCTGATTGTTGTGTCATTTACAAGACCAACTACCGTGTTATTCTGAGCGATTTATGTTATTTTATTGAGCTTAGGTTTACTGAAAGATTGCATACCAGCAACAAAGCCTTCAAGTTCATTTGAGAACACATTCTGAAAATAAATTCTTATTTGTTTTAACTTTTAATTAACCTTGTGAGGTATTATTCGTGCCCTTGTAAGTTATCAGTCTCGAGAACAAGTGACATGAATTTGGAGATACGAGTTTCTAGGATGAGTGTCGAGCCTTTGTCTGCTGTATTTTCGGCTTCATCTTCCTCGTTATGTGTGATACAACTGCGTGAAATAGAATGTTCCCTTTGTTTCTTATGTACTTTCTAACGTTGAAGTGCGCTCTATAAGCATAATAACTTGAATTTAACCTCAGTTTTCTTTCCAGTTATTTTCCATTTTTCTCGAACTGTCAATCGTTCATGACAAGTTCAGACGAGAATAGGTACTTGAATTTTTCATCTTATTAAAATCACTCATTATAGTTCAACAAATTTTCAGTGTATTCTTGAAAGACTGATTTTTTTAGAGTTACGAATGAATTTTGCTTATCTTACGCCAATTTTAATTTCAGGTGACCCAAACTTCGTAGGTGTGTCTTGGCATCTGAAACTAAAGAAGACAACTTGAGTGAACCCGCACTAGTGGAACAACCATCGCTACCTTCACTTCTGCAGGGGATTGTTGTAAAAGTTCTGTACGGATCGCTCCTCTTATTGTAATCGGGACCGTCTAAATGTTCTTGTTAAGCTATTTTCGTATGGCAACATCTGGCCTGTACAAGATTGAACCTGTAGCCTCTTGTTCATCTAAATTTTGTATTTAATGCAATTGTTGATTATATTTCGTAGTGTGGTCTGATCTTTCATTCAGTGTCTGACATGACCACTTTGTTCTTAACAGTTATTTGTATTATTGTCTGATCATCAGACTCTGAGAAAGGCATTAGTTGTTCACAATTAGTTGTCTGATCATATTGGCCGGAAAAAGATTTCCGCCATTCGAGGAGAGCTTCAAGGATGCCGAATGTGACCAATGAATCAGCGGCATTATGTATAATGTAAACTGACATTTATTTAAGTATGATGAGGCTCTGTTTTATATAAGCTATGCAGGCGACTGACATAATGGCAGCGTACTTGCTTGGCTCCGACTATAGTAGATGCTTGCAATGCTGTCGGTTAGTTGCATTTCTTATGCTGTCCAAGACTATTTGATAATTTATTTTAAAATATGATTACCCTTCTCTACAATGATCTGTACTACTCTTACTGCAATTTTGATAGTCATTGTTCAGTATAATTCCTTAGTGTTTTTGAGTGTATTTAGCACTTGAATCTTGTCTCGTTTTTATTATTTTATTTTTAAGCAGCAGAATGTTTTGCATCAAAATATTTTTTCTGTGATAGTGTTTATTTTGCTCCCAACTTTGTGTCTTTTATAACTAATAATGTCCGGTGTCATAGGTAGCTGAAAGATTTTCCACGCACACATTTGTAACCTGATCCCATAGGTGCTACTTCTCTCCAATATATTATCAACGCTCTAACATGACATTTTCACCGCTCTCAGCCAAGTCAGTTGGCTGAGGTGCAGCATAAATCTTATTCCATACCTAGATTGCAATGATGGTTAGCAGGGCTGGAACCATTCTATCAAGAACTGTTACGAGTTGGCAACTCCACCAGCCAGTCACTAACGGCTTTAATGCCGCTATGTATGCTTAAAAGAAATATGCTGCTAGCCTGCTATGTATAATGGCAGAAATATGCTGCTATGTATACTTGAGCAAGTTTTGATGTACGGTCTTGGGCTCCTCTAGCATCCTCGCTCTCTTTTGACACAAATAGCTCTATTTATTTCGAAAAATAATTCTTTTTTTTATGAACATTTATTTATCTTTCGGCATAATTACATTATATTAGGCATTAGGTTTGTTTTGGAGCTTTTTGAATTTTAAGTAATGAACACCGATGTGCAATACATCACCCTCGCTGTGAGCAATAGCTCCCATGTATGCATTTTATGTTAGTACGCATTACACCATACGTAATGAATCGTTCTCCTCTACAATGTTTGGCAAGCTACTCTTAATATATGCAGAGGTTGGACAAAATATGGGAAACGCATGACATTTTGATATCGTCATTTTTGAACAGTTTATAAACAATGAAAACGTGCTATATTTTTATGTTTTATTGTTTATGGTGGCTGCTTAAAGATATTTTATCCTTGCACAGATATTTTCAGTAAATTTCCGCGTTTATAACCTAGCCTAAAATCTATAAATAGCATATCTCTCTGACTTTCAAAGAGGCTAAATTGTTGGCGCCCGTATGGCAGGTGCTAGTGTTTCAGAAACTTGCCGAATGCTTGACATTTTTAGAGGTACTGTCACAAAAGTAATAACTGCTTTTGAAAAAGAAGGAAAAACGACCTCACCAAAGCACAGGTCTGGCCGAAAGTCGAAGTTGTCACAGAAAGACCGTCGGTACCTAAATCGAATTGTGCGAGACAATCGATAACGTGCATCCTCTTTATAACCTGTCACTGAAGACACGTGCAGCCCCGAAGAAAACTAAGGCATTATGTATCGCTGAGGACAACTGAGGCAATTACTGTCCTGTGTCTGCAATAGAAATTCGTGACCGTTAGGCATGTGCTACACATATGGCCGTACGTAAACCGTGAAAATAAAAGCTGTCAATGTCAATTATTGGAAAAATTCCTCCCGTAACTTTTTTCTGTTACCACGTGTTCATTTATGTGATAATGTTCAATAGGAAATTCAATTAACACTTTCGTCCTAAGAATAATGACAAGCGTGGAGGATCGGTACCAAGACCCTATTATGGCCGCCTCTTGCTCGGCCTGCTGAGTGTTAGGTAGGCAGCATTTATCGTGTTTGTATAGAGATTTGAGCTGTACCTTTAGTGTGATAGATACCTGTATATCTGTATAATGTATTCATATTGTTATTATTAGTTATCAGGAAAATATTGCGCCCTGGTGCTTTAGCATTATTGAACACTATTGAAGGCATCGATGACGACGAGAAAGTCTATTCTCCTCCCGCATAACTAATGGTAATGCTTACTATTGGTAAGTATGAGTAATTTATTGATTAGCTTCATACATGGTATTGAGCGCAAACTAGTGCGTCGTGTTCGTATTATTGATTTGCATAGAATTGTATCATTTTCGTAAGCATTAGCTTCTACTCAGATTGTTCTAATTTAATTTATATCGAGCATCTTCCTTACGCATGCTTTCTGATTTAAAAATTGCAGATTTTTTCACAATGAATTTGAATCCTCTTTGAGAATACTTGTGCACAGCAACTCAGGTCCTGTATCCCTCAGAGGGGACTTCTAACGCGTGTCTGTGCTCGTCAGAAGTCATGGGATTTCGTGATCATAGGGGGATTGTTCCTGAGCGCCCCACCGCTGAGCTCGCGGTGTCTGACTGCAGGTCTCAGTTGTGGGGTTAATTTATTATGTAGGTAGGATTCCTTGCATTAAGTTATTATGTAGGTAGGATTCCTTACATTTCCCTTCTCTGTTTCTCTTGTGCGGGCGGCCGACGTCCCGTGTAAGCGACCTCTTGTTCGAGTGTCTTCGTTTCTGTTGCTTTTCACCTGTCCCTCCTTGTCACTTCTCTTTGAGATGCTAACGCTGCTTCTTTCGGGCCAGCTTCAGCGGGCTGGACAATTGAGACCTTCCGCCTCTTGTTGGTGATGAACAATTTTTGATTTGAGAAACTTTTGATAACTGAAACCTTCCACCTGGTGATGTTCATCTTGACTTTCGGTGCGAGATAGCTAAATTGCTGAAGCGCTAGTAAACATGTGGCCACTAAACTAACTAACTCAGGTCCAGCAAATATATTGTCTGCTCAAGCCTCTTCCTCGACCACTTCGAAAACATGACCAGCGGGAGCATTTAAGCTTCGCTGACAATCGTCAGACGTCGTAACATATCGCGCATCGTGTAGTGTTCAGTGCTATCGCAGTCTCATTCTGCTCGTTATATTTCAATAGGAAGCGATGTGTCGGGACTTTTCTTGATACCATCTAATTATTGGACTGGCTTGCAGCATGACTGGCAATTGAAAAGTTAAGGCGTTATAATAACAGCAAGTAATTTTGTTGCTATTCAGAATTTCTCTAAGGCTTATCATTTTAAGTGCAGTTAAAAGCTTTGGTCTAATTTTTGGAACGAAATTCAAGACTTGATCTCTTATCAATGTTTGTGTTGTGTGAACATTGACCGACGGCACTGTACCAGCGCAAAGTACTGTATAGCCGATATATCTCTAAGCTGCAGTGACTAACTGAAATCTTCCGTGAGTGTTAAGAATGCACATAGAGATTTAGCTTGTTATTATAAAGAGCTACGCGTCCTGTGACTTCCAACCTTAGCTGTGCCGGTTAAGTATGATGATAATTTATTTAATTTTTGTCATTTATTCGAGGGTTTACTTGCAATCAATAATAATTTGATTTAAACAGTGAAAATCTTGCTAGTTGTGAGCGTTCAGAGCAGACTGTAACAATGTTCACTTTTCTTCCATCACATGAAACCATAAATTTAACAGTGATAGGAAATTCCATCATGAGCTTGCTACTAAATGCGCAGCACAAGTTATCTCTACATTTTTATCTAGCGCCGTACTGTGCAGTCGCTCGTTTAACGCAGGAAAAAGTTGGCGAGGACAAATTTTTTGGATATTTTGGAAATTTTATAGGCCAACTTGCATAGAGGAAGCTACAGCTGCGGTCTGAAATGTACAATTGTTGGGTATTTTGGAAATTTTACAGGCCAACTTACATAGAGGAAGCTACAGCTGCGGTCTGAAATGTAACTTCCTACCTTACGAACACGCTATCCATTATGGTATTTGTTTAGGTTCCTATATACAAATAACAGCAATATTTTATTCAGCGCCGAACTTTATTTCATTTTTATGTATGTTATATTATTCGCTTGTATTCGAGTAGCTTAAAGCGTCGCATGTACATTTGTATGTAGTGTATTTTATTCATAGTTTTATCGTATGAACCGTGTGTATCTTGCCACTTCTTGTGTCCGGATGTTTATGAAGGTTGTTGGTTTAGCTCAATTCGTTTTTAAAACTCATTTGAAATTGGTCTTAATTTTTTACTTATCTGTCAACACTTGTTTATACTTGTTTATACTTGTTTATACTTGTTTTTATGTCATATAGTCGTCTCTAAATAATGTCTCCATTCAAATACGGAATCAAACGTTAAAAAAAATTAAAGTATTCTTGACTTACAATTATTTGTCATGTTGCCCCGACGGCGCGTTTATAAGCTAATGATCGCTGTATTTGCAGATGAGTTTGTTGATGTTAGACAAGGCAGGTGGCTTGACTAGTATTGATAAGACGTAACTCAGAAGTTCTCTAGTCTCTGGACGAGGGAAATGTTGTTGCGCTTGATGCTGTGCATCGCCGTGTACGGTGTAGGCCTGTGCGCTGTAGCTACTTCATTAGCTTATTATAAATTAGGCTAGGGCAATACAGTTACATTATTTATGTTCATGTTGTTTGGTCTATTGCAATGTACAGCTAATGAATGTTCGGGTTCACCGTGTACAGTATTGTGTAGCTTGATATAAACCTTCTGTACAGTAACCCCTACTCAATAAATATCTTGCCCAAACTCTTCTTATTTTTGCCTCTCCAAAGATCTAAATGAAGTTAACAAAGACGATCGCTCTCCCTATGTTTTCCTCTTTTTTTTGCAACTGAAAAAACCTTCACTTATTTATAACTGAATATATATTAGAGAAATGAAAGAGTATTATTGTTATTATAACTTTTTTTTTCACGTGTGCCAACGATTAACTTTCTTCCCGTGTACGAACAAATGACTTTCTTCCCGTGTACGAACAAATGACTTTCTTCCCGTGTACGAACAAATTACTTTCTTCCCGTGTACGAACGAACAACTTTATTCACGTCTACGAAAGAATAAATTTCTTACCGTGTACGAAAGAATAACTTTCTTCCCGTGTATGGACAAATAACTTTCTTCACGTGTACGAACGAATAACTCTCTTCACGTGTACGAACAAATGACTTTATTCATGTATTCGAACGAGCAACTTTCTTCCCGTGTATGAACGAATAACTTTCTTCACGTGTACGAACGCTATCAATGTGGTCAGGAGAAGCGAAACGAAATAATTGTCAGAGGATGCGTGAGGCTCAAAAGTGCGATCGCCTGACGTGTACCTGCAGCGATGGCTTAATTTATAATATGATCTGTGAGAAAGGCGCACGACACCAGTCAGT